TAAAGTTATTTTGATTAAGAGTATTTCTTTTAAATTGAAATTGCTTTCCTTTTCTGTGCTTTTTAAAAGCCGAGACCGTATAAGATCACAAATCTGTCGATTCTTGAGTTGTTAAAAATTTATGTATTTTTCGATGGCAAATCATTTTAGATGAATTTTATGGTATTTAAACTAGTTAAGATATAAAATCTAGTTCTTAACTTTTAATTGTTCAGATGAGAGTTCAATTTTTGAGATATATTTTTAATTAATGTCGATAGCAACGATGTTTTTTACCTTGGATTGATCTCATCAAATAAAGTATTTTTATTCTGTATCGATTCGTGTAAGGCTGAGTCTATAGAGACAAATGTTATTGATCTATTGTATTTGTAACTTGATTAGTGTTTAATCGTATGTTATCTAAATAATTAGTTCTGTTCATTAGCTTGTTGATAGAAAGTAATTTTGGAAATTAAGGTATAGTAAGTCTTCCTGTGTCAATTGATAGTACTTTTCAAAGGCGACGGATTCATATATTTGCGAAATAAAAAAATTGATCGAATAAAAAGTTCCGTCGGCATTATTTTCAGGACATATTTTCGTGCTGTTTTTTATGATATTTTGATCGATATGAATAAGAACAACTAGTGATTGCATCCTAACTACTATCAAATTCAAATTCAACATAAAAACTTGAGTCAATTAATGGGGAAAGTGGTAAAAGGTCGAATGGAAAATGTCGAAAGTGGAAATGTCGAAAATCATAAACCTTTATAAATCCTTATAAATTCTTGGTGAAAAACTTTTTCTAAGATTTTATCAATAGAATGTAATATGGTACACATGCACACAGCACAACAGTGAGGGTGCGGATGAAAGCTGTGCCCTAAAGGATTTCGGTTTTCGACATTTTGCTTTTCGACATTTTGCCTTTCGACGTTTTCACTTTCGACCTTTAGCCACCAAACCAATTAATGAATGTTTCAAATATTTTCATGATTTTTTCGCACTTTTAAACCTCCCCTTGTGATCCTTGAGAAACACTTCATAAAATATATTTTATCAATAAAAGAAACCGGGTGTGGGTGGATGAAGAGAAGGACTAAATCCACACCCCACATTCACACCCTCATTCGTAAAGTTAATATTGATGAGAACAATAGATGCTTTCCTTTTTTTACAAAGAGAGCAAGTGACACGTTTCAACAAGGGTTTTCTAAAATCAATAAATTAACTTGGACAAACATGAAATTCTTATATAACTTTTCCTTTATTTTTTGTTCATTAAAAAGATCATCATAAATGGAATATACAATAATGCTAATTGTTCTAATATGAAAACTATTCGTTAATTGAAACAGCTGCAATAATAACTAGTTTTTAACTTCAAAATATTGATTAATATTCATAGTCTCTTGTCTTCGTACGTGCATCGTATTTCAGCTGAGTATGACGACAAGGGAAGAGCAAAATATTCAATTAGTTAATATTTGATTAAACTACGAAGCTCGGTAGTGAAATTTATTTCCTTTTATTCTATTTTTATAACATTAATAGTATAAACTTCGTGTTTCAAGATGATATCGATCAATGATTCTCCCCTTATCTGAAAATAGAGGCAACAGTGGATTTCGCTCATAGAATATTTATTTAATAATTGTCCATGAGAAAAATCGTTCACAACATAGCTATAAAAGATGAAAATTGGCTATGTAATCGATCGATTTGTATTGTATTCGGGAATAATTAAAGAATATATTTTTCGGTATGTTAAATGCTGAGTTCTATGAACGGCCAGTGTATCATGAAATCTCAAAAGCATAACATATAAAACAAACTATATTTTTCAAAACTTCATTTGTACATTCTACAATTCTAGCTTTTAAGCTGATATCATGCCGAATAATGACGCTAACATTTGTTATTGAAATGTAGACGTTTGAAACAAAGTCCATTTGGTTTATTTCAAATAGATAATATTCATAACTTTTGAAGGTTTACTTTCGATAAATTCATAAAAATGATAAGCTATTACAATATATCTTACCGCACCGGTTGAAAGATTTTTTTTTCTTTGACTAAACTCGTTTGTTAAACAGCTTAAATATCGAAGCTTCTAACAATCGAACAAATCATAAGTATTCTTTCAGCTGCGTGTAATTATACTTGTTTATTTTGGCAAAGTCGCTCATTTTAACCTATAAAAATATGGCGTAATGACGCTGGCGGTAGCGGTAAATTTTAGCAGCCCTTTATTGATTTTAATTTCACGAGAAATAATTGAATAGAAGCAATGTCATGTGAAAAAAAATCGATTTTATCACATGTACTGGTTTGTTTGTTCAACGAATAAGTGTCAAAGCGATGAAACACCTGATTAGCTTTAGTTAAAATCCGAGAAAAATGTATCAAACGATCATCATGATCAAAATTCATTCGAATTCAAATAGATTAGAATTTTTAATGAAAGTTTTGAATTTTCGAAAGAAAAGAAACTTATTATCAGTGGATTTTATCTCACGAAATTGACTGAAATCGTTATTTATACCTGAATTTGATCGAAAATTGATATATTTAAGTATTCTCTTGAAAAATCTTGAAAAATCTCTGTCAATGAGATTGTTCAGCTGTTTTTTTTTCTAATGTTAGATATTGACATTAAACAGCCTATATAAAAGTACAACAACGATCGTGCTTCGTTGAACCACATGCATTCTCTTGTTATACATAAGCGCTGTAAAAGAGAGAAAAAGTCGAATATATCCTTGTATCAATGACAAGTCGTTTGTTTAACGAAGATTTACTCATTAAAATTCGTACGGCGCATTCAAACATAGTCGTACAATTTAATTTACTAACTGAATATGTCACTGATTTCAATCGTAAATTATTCCATAGGCACATATGACAATCGTGTATGTTTCAAAAAAATAAATATGCTTCTTCGAGTTAAAGGACAAAACCATGGTCTCGAAGAATGGAGGTGGGATGACCAGTGAAATAGCTCGTGAACCAAACAACGAGCAAGAATAATTTGATGGGCGACTTAGGAAAGCACACGTGAAATCACCTGGTGGTCCATTTTCTTGCTTTTTTGGCATTGATCAAACACTTTGTGTGATCAATCAGCATGAACTCTATCTGATATTTAATGATAACTGCGATGATACACTTCATCTCAATTCACATTCGTTGTCTTATTCATTTCCTGGTGAATTATCAATTACTGCTCGACTTGATGGTGACGTACTGTTTGATTTGTAAGTGATGACACGTAGAACAAAATTTCGACATAATGTTGAACGTGTCAGAATGAAAACAAAACAATAAAAGATAATCAAGGCTGTGAACATTCATGAGGAGATCGTTTTTATTGTTGTTGGTCAAGGACAAGTGCAGATCAATAATGGAATTCAAATGACAATGCACGATGCTCTTCGAGTTGATCAGAACTCATCGAACGTACAGATTTTTGCTGCAACCGATGACACTGAACTCTATATAGTTCAAATCAGTCAGATTGGCATAAAAGACAAGGTCTTTAATGAATGATGCTTGAAAGAAACTTTTCATCTCATCTATATAAAATAATATATTATCATATATACATATATCGAATATTCGGTTGGAAGGTCATACTTCATTAGGCATTTGAAGGAAAAGTGCGTTCTCTTCACCACCACCAATAGTATCTACCGACTACGGAGAATAAGACTGATCTGGTGTTCTATGTGTAATTCTTAGAGAAATCTTCTCATTCGAGGTGAACCATTTTATTTCATGTGACTTAACCAAGTAACGGGTGGACCGAAAGTTTTGAGACAAAATGTTTGTCTATTTTTCACCACCTCGAAAGTATTCTAGATAAAAGGAAAAAGGTAGATAAGAATCAGAATTTAATGCTCTTTCCGAATATGAGTTCAGAAATTCTGTGTCTATTTTTATAAGGGAGAAGCAAACAAATCTTTGAAAGGCATAAAAAATAGTCTGGGCAAAATGGTTGAGTCGAAGCTTCTGAGCAATGTTTGCTTTATTTTTGGTCCATATAAAAGTATTGTAGGGTGTGGGTGGTGTGGGTGTGGGGTATGGGTGTGGGTGTGGGTGTGGATGTGATTGCAACTCTCTACACCCACGCCCACACATCCACACGCACACCCACACACCCACACACACCCAGACCCAGACCCACACCATACCCGCACCCACACCCACCCACACATCCCGCCCACACACACACCCACACCACTACCCACACCCACATCCACCCGCACCCACACCCCGTTTATATGTAAAATTGTAGTAAATTTTTAGAAAGTGTTAAATTTCTTCATGAAAATGATCTTTAATCAAAATAAAACACATATGATATGATTTCTCTAATCACGTTGTATCGACCGTTATGTTTTTTATCAAAGTTCAAATCGTTTAACTATTTCTTTTCCATCGATAAAAATATGTTGTTCTAAAAACACCTTCTTTTCTGTTCCTAATTCTGCCGATCTATATAAATAATTTTCCTATTCTTGCCGCTCTGCATATTTTTTCTCTAATTTTGCTCACAACTTAGAATAAACATAAATTCTTCGAATGAATGAACAATATTAGTTAAAATACATAATTTCAGAATAATTTTTATATCAAATTAATATTATTTTTAAGAATTATATATTAGTATAAAATAAACATATACTTTTCTTTTCAAAAAAAATTAAACTATTTTATCAAGTTTTTTTTACTAATTCTAAGCTACTTAAACTTTCTTTTCAAAAATGTCAATAAGAGCAAAAGAATAAATTTAATAAATTTCAATGTATCAACGTCCTCCATAGAGAAAAATTTCTTGATTTAGTTATGCACATGTTTTGTTTTACTAAACGTTATTTATTGCATCCCATTTGATTGGATCATTTGTTGTCTTTATTATTTGTTTCCATTGTTCATATTTTTGGTTTATCTATGAATTTATTTCAAGAAGTAGTAACGCATTTTTTCAAAATATACTTAAGATCTATCGATATATGAAGAACTATACAAAAGAAAAGTTGATTCGTGCTGTCGAAAGTGCTTTTAGTTCACCTGTTGCTGCCAAAGAGTTTAATGCACCTGAAAGAACGATACGTTCTCACAGGCAAATGCCATTACAAAAGATTGGTGCTGGTCGATGTCGTTATCTTATTGATAATGAAGAAAATCATCTAGTTTCATTATTTCAAATTTTACCGAATTACGGATTTTCATTAACTGCGGGTGTTGCTATTCAAATCTCATTTGAATATATGAAATCACTTGGCTTGTTCTTCAAACCTGGACGAAAATGGTTACAAGCATTTGTCAATCGGCATCGTATGAAAATTAAATGGAAAAAAGAAGAAAAACTTGAGCCAATACGTTCTGAAAAATTTACTGAAGAAACACGTCGTGGTTGGTTTTCATTGCTCAAGTTAACATTAGAAAAACTTGATCTAATGGATAAACCCTGCCAAATATTTAATGCTGATGAAACAGGGTTCAGTGATAAAACAAGTGGTAAGGTTCTCACATAATTATTTTCACTCATTATTTTCTCTTCTCACAGGAAAATATGTAATTGTAAATTCAAGTACTCGGCATACATTGGAAAAAAATGGTTGTTCTGGAAAAAATTATACAACTACTTTAATCGCAATAAATGTAGCTGGGCAAGTTTTGCCACCTTTCATTGTTTATTCTTGGAAAAATTTAATCGATAATTGGTGTAAAGGAGGTTTAGACGGTACCCACTATGCTGTTAGGGAGCGCTTCAAATATATTCCGATCGGTTGGTCGTTATTCCCTCCTTCCTTTATTCTACTGTTCCGGTATTCCATTCTTCCTATATTCCTCCACTATTCCTCTGTTCCCTTATTTCTTATTCCTCTATTCCGTTATTCCGTTATTCCATATTCCTCGATTCCTTCAGTTATTTATTCTGTTATTCATTCTTTTCTCTATATCTTTATTGCAGAACATTTGATTATGTACCGCCTTCTCGTTCAAAAGTGATTTTTTTATTTTATTTTATATCTTCAAAGATTATTAATCACTCTTTGAAAGTATTATTCATTCATCAAGCTATCGATTACATATCGAAATCAGAAATGCTCATTATGCATAGATTAATCCCANGGTCTTGCGTAGATCGAAAGAGAACGATTTTTCTTACCAATCTATAAATGAACGAATAGGGTTAGGTTGAGAAATGGCTTCAGACTAAGGGTGGTCAACATATCTATCGAGAATGCATCTGATTGGTCCATTACTAACCAATCATATTTTAGCATGCATTAATGTCCCTGAGTCTTCTCTTTCTAATGGTGAAAACCACACCTCTCTATCTTGTTCCTAACAAAAGTTATTCAAAAAATACCTACGCGCATTTTATTTTGAAACGGACAGTAGTACATTATCAATCTCCATAATTTTGCCGTACCAACAATAATTCTATTAGTCATATTAAGTATAGCTGGCCGAACAGTCTGTGAAACTTAATCGTGTACATTTTTTATCTTCTTGTACGTTTTATCGATATAACAACAAATAAATGTTCTTGAATAGTATAGATATGTTGTAGGATTACCATAATGGCGCAAATTGTTTCTCTATATTTTCGTACGTTAAAAATGGCGGTTTTATATTGTCCTGAAAAGCGTCTTATATCAACTGGCAACACAGTTTATCCGATGCATGTCTTAGAAAATGCCCAAGGCTTCGATTATTATTCATTTATTTTTTATTTTTCTAGTTGTTCTGTGAACGGTTTGCTAGAATTCGAAGAAAAATCATTAAAAGAAATATTGATTCATTAGCCGAAAAATGTTTACATCAGAGACTAATTCAACTGTGTACACAATTCTTGGTGAAACCAGATTTGTGCCAAGTGCATTATTTCTCGATTTTATATTGTCATCGAGTTTCTGCACTGTAATATCTAATACAATGAAATGTCTTGTGAATCACATAAACATTCATCATTGTTGAGTTGACAGAGAACTGTGGAGTTGTTGTTATTTTTCATGTGCTGTGTAATTATGTCTTGTGACTTCAAATAGTAATGTTTTGATAACGATTCTTATTTTTATTTGATCGTTCTTGTTAGATAAGAGATGATGAAAAAAAGAAAAACAAAAAAACATGGGTCTTGCTTTTTGTTTTATTATATCACACACGTAGAACGAATACACGTAAGTCAGATAAAAGGGTGTGAGACGCAATATGTGTAGAAGATGTATTATCACAAACTACAGTAAATGAACAGTCAAATTATGATGTATGCCTTCTTATCTATAGAAAAGCGAACTGAATATGACGATCGTCTATTGAAAATAATACTTTTTTTATCCCTATGTCATATAGGGAGGAATATAAGAAGAAATGTTGAACATTACTTTAGAAACCGATCGATTTATGAGAAACCAGTAAATGCATAGTATCTGTATTTTAAAAATAATTCTTTTTATTTGAATATAATGTTTTTGGGTTATTTGGTATGTTATTATCGCTGAAAATTCATGTGCTTAAAAAGTTGATAATATTTAGTCAAAATATTGGTCATTGCCAAGAACATCTCCATCGTAGGATTAATTATTCATTCTTAGAATCGGATGATAATTTCATTTGGATATAGCCTATTTTGTCCATAAACTTTTTTTCAGTCATTTATATTATAATGAAGGTGCGGTAATAAAGTGATGCGTACTAGAGAAAAACAAGAAAGACAGCAAGTCTTCCATGTAAATATCTTACCTACAGTTAAACGGTAGGCGAGTATCATATCACATTGACTTTGCCGTTCTTTAGTTATTTGATTTTATCATGTAGCAAATTTCTTTTCTATCTTCAGATGGTATTTAAATGCCTTTTTTTGTTTGGTTTTCTTCTACGTTTGTTACCAACAACAAGCGGTCAATTTAATAAAGATCACTTAACAAAATTACAAGCATTAGAATGTGATGAACCATCAATTACTCTTCATGTATTCTCTGGCACACCAAATCCAGTTTGGAAAATTAATATAAATCAACTAGCCAGAATTAAAAAACTAGCTTATGAATCTTTGTATCAAAATAATAATGTTACATTATTAAGTAAGCCAACGACAAGAATTATGGGTTATCAAGGATTCACTGTTAGTTGTTCTTCTGACAAGCATGTATTTGTTCATGGCTTATCTCCACTTGAACATTTGTTATTGTTTGGTGGTCGCCGTTATCTTTCAGCATCAGTGGTCCGTCATGTCAAAGATCATGTTGGAGAAATTATGCCCGACATTACTCGTATAGAGTCCGATAATGCTGATTGTAATCATGTTCCAATCGTAGGTCCTGATAATGTACCTGAATATGATCCAAAGACAGATGATGAAGGATGTTTCATTAAAAGACAAACGGATAACAATTGCTATGCTTACGGTAATAGTAGCTCATGAATGACTAAAAATGGCATAGAGTACTGCGGTTATTGTACCTTTTTTTTTGTCACACTTACTTTTATAATATTTCTCAACAAAAAGAACTTAAAATATTTTCAGCTTAGATTGACCGTAAACAAATTGACGAATAGTTTCATTGTTCGGAAGTTATAACATTTCTTAATGTTTTCTTTCTCTCTCTATATAGGTACTGACATTGTTACAAATACTTTTCCACAACCAGGTGAATATCAAGACACGATATAATGAACTATACGATACTAAGAAATTTTTTTTCTCTATAGGTCGAGGTAGTGGAAAAAAGTGGTCATTCAATACATGTGTAGATATGGGAAATGCATCTGTTCGTGATGGTTTAATTTACAATGGCACAAAATTACCAAAAACTCCACCGGAAAAAGGTCACTTTGCTGCATTGCTTATTTGGCCAGACACGAACTTTCATTGGATAAGAATGGTTTGAGATCATCTCTATATAAAAATATAATATTTGACTTTTAAATATTTTCTATTTTTTCATAGGATGCAAATGGTTATTGGTCACATAAACCAGGCGGTAAACATATACAGTTCAAAAATAAAAATAATAATAGTTTATTTTTCTTATATCTGTTTCATAGGTACACCAGTTCGCAACAAGGATAACAGAGACTTACCAATCGTCGATCCTTCTAAATCTGATTTCTCGCCATGGACACAATTTTGTTCATATTTCATTGCACAACCATCAAAACTTCGAATTAATTAACTAGTTTGCATGACCCTATTTCTCTTGTTGATTTTCTTATATATTTAACAAACTTTTTAATAAATAAAAGTTACTAAAGCAATTCTGATTATCTGATGTTTTACTTAAGAGTATTTCAGTTCAAGTGACTACACAATACATGAAAATCACGTCGGAGTATTTTGGATGTAAAACTATACACGGTGCCTTAAACTCGTTGTTCAAATCTTTATTTGCAATTATAAGCTGGTGTTATTCATAGATTTCTTCAAAATATTGGTTCAAGTTACAAAAATTATAAATCTTTTGTTAAATCTATACCAAATCGATGATACTCAGATAAAACTATAAATCATTAGAAGTAACGAGGACTCCATATTTCATTATCATATACATGTATTCGATGAAAAAAAAACCATTAGACTAATTGACTACGCAAATAGCATATATCGATTTTTCTAAAATAGTTCATGAAATCATTCGATTTATGTTCCGTAGAATATTGATGAAAAGCAGGATATGGATATCTGTTTTGATTTTTCTTAATATTATGTAATTTACAACTGATTCAAAGATAAAGGAAATAATTTTATTTCGTTTAAAACTAAAATGAAATCATTCTCATCAGCTTCTTTCATGGCGCTAGGTAGTAGTATTGAACTAGAGCACATGCAATACGATTGTCACTTTTCTGTATCGCATATAACAGGGAAAATATCTTTAATTTTCTAAAAATTACTTTAAGACATGATTTATAATTAGTAACATGATTATTGAGTAAAAAACTAGTAGAAATCTGCATGCATAAAACATGAGTGAATCAATGAGATACCATGATTAATATTCTTTGCATATTCTTATTCAAACTTACTAATTTTTCTCTTATTAGTTTTTGGGTAATATCAATGTTTATTTTGAATAGACATAATGAAATAAAGAACAAACGTAATACATGATAATGTAAAGTTTAAACATCTGATTTAAATAATGTTTCAGCGAGTAAATGAAATGTTTGCATTATTTTCATGTACCTCGAAATAATGATTATGAGCTGTTGGTGAATGATAGAACATATATTTCTTTCACTTCTAATTGACAACATTATGCCTTTGTAATTTCAATTATTATGTTATAGATATTCTACTAAATAGAAATTTAATATACAGTGGATACCAAAATTATTGAACGAAGTTTATTTTCAAATTTTTCCCCACTGCCATAAGCGCTAGAAAGAATCCAAATATTAATTTTAGTACAGAAAATCTTTTCCAAAATGAATATAATGAAATGAAAATTATTATCAGGTTCCCAAAGACAGAGACTCCAGAAAACGAACAGACTAGTTTTTCAGTACCTCTAACGAGAAAATATAAGATAAAGCAGGCTATTGTCTACAAAATGGCATGACTTCAAGTTCTCTGCGACGATTTTTAAAAGAGATACAGAAATTTGGCGAAAGTCTCTCAAGTTTTTTTCCAAAATTCTATAGAAAAACTACTTTGTGAGATTCAACCAAATTGTTATAGCTTAGCCAAAAACAAAGCGTCGTAGAGAACTTGATAATGTCTCGTTTTGTACAGGATAGTTTACTCTATCGTTCAATGCAGTCTAAACAAAATTATATTTACGCATTCTAAATGCTGAAAGACTAAAGTTTTGGTTTGCTGAAACTTCTATCTTTGCGACTCTGATAATAATTATTATTTCTTTACATTTTTGTTAGAAACTATTTTATTTATTCGAATCACTGTTTTAGATTCTTTCTAACGCTTATGGTAGTGAAAAAAAAAATTGAAAATAAACTTTGTGAAATAATGTTGGTACTCATTGTATTGCATAACTGATGTTCTCATGAAAAAAATATTACAATATAATATTGAACTTAATGAAAAGTATTTATGGAAATTTTTCATATTAAAAGACAACATTTTACAATAAAAATATGAACTTCAATTAATTTTTTCGTTAAATAAAATATCAATTTAGATGCATCTATAATATGAGATGATTCGACATCTGTTTTTTTTCAATGTTCTTGCGTAAAAATGCGAAGTTATTCTGATGAAGGTGCAACAGCTTTATCATTTTCAAACATTCCATTGTAACGATGTCCATCAGGAAATATTTCAATACCGCGTCCATGTTTTTTGCCTTCATACCATTGTCCTTCATATTTATATCCATTTGGAAATGCACATACACCATAACCATGTCGATAATCATTGCGATAGTCTCCTTCAATTTAATAATTATTTATCAATGAAATTGAAATAAAGGCATGCTTCTATTTTTAATCTTACCGACATACTGCCGACCATCTGGCCATGTAAAAGTTCCTTGACCATGTCTTTTATTTCCTTTGAATTGTCCTTGATATTTAGATCCATTAGGCCATGATTCTACTCCTTCGCCATCCATTTGATTTTCATACCATTGTCCTATGTATATTCGACCATTAGGCCATCGATAAGTTCCTTGTCCATGTTTTTTTCCTTGATTGTTCAATTCACCGTCGTATGGTGCTGTATATGATGTGCCCAAACGGATTTTAACATGAGTTTTACGTCGAAGTGGTTCAATATTTTCACTATCCAGTTGAACAAATGCGTTATCATTTGTATCAAAATATGATAATGGTAAGATTTTAGTTATGCCTATACGATGAACAATAGCTTGAACTAATGCATCAAAAGTCGTTAAACGGATCGTAAATAAATGTGGAGTACTATCAATAGAAATCTGAACCATAATGCGTTTCTTTTAGTTAGTAGTATACACAATGGAGTGATAAGAATGAAAAACAAAAAAAACATCAACCACAGATATAAACTCTTATATCATGATAAGAAATTCTTGAGTGTAACTACAGCAAAGAATCATTTTTGTTTTTTATTCTTTTTTTTTTATTTTTCAAAAAAAAAGAGTCCAGACCAAAAAGTATTATATTTAAAGACGAAATGAGTAGGATGTCGTCAAATATATATTTTAATAGAAAATGTAATACAGTAGTGGACAAAATTATAAGAACAGATAGTTTTTTTAGTGTTTTCATTTCATTTGTCTTTACTTTTCATCTGCTCGAAATAGTTCATGTATCTATACATATGCATTCCGACATGCTCTATCCGAAACTGAACTCGGATTTCCTCGTTTTCAATATGAAGTTTNAATTTTTTAATATTGTATGACGAAGAATATAAACTCTCTAAGAATCTCAGGTTTATTTTTATCTTAGAATTTTACTATCATTCTTTTGTGTTTATTAGGTTTTTATGTTCTATATCTATCCATATAAAAAAAGATTTGTGTGAAGACACAATATTAGTCCAAGTGGATCTAATATTGGATGTTAACATATACGCAAATAATATACGGAAAAAAAGTTCTCCGACATTTTTCTATCAATATAATAGAAAATTTTCTGAGAGTTTTTTTTTCATATATCATGTCCGGTGATTAAATTAAATATCATTTGATGCAGAATTTAATTCTATATCTGACAGGCCTACTCAAAATCATCGAACATAATATACGAAAAAAGTTCACAGAAATTTTTCTATTATATCCATAGAAAAATGTTGGAGAACATTTTTTTCCACACCTTAGATATGCTTAGAACAATGCGACACAAATCTTTTTTTATATGGATAGATATAGAACATAAAAACCTAATAAACACAAAAGAATGATAGTAAAATTCTAAGATAAAAATAAACCTGAGATTCTTAGAGAGTTTATATTCTTCGTCATACAATATTAAAAAATTATTTTGCTAAATTTCTTTAATTACAATACATAAATATAAAATATGTAACTTGATTGAACAACTATCGTTAATCGTTGTAATTTGTCAATAATATTTATATTCATGATTTTCATTGAATGTTATCATGTTTTTCAGTTGTTATTCTATGAATTATATAGATTTCACAAGAGAATAATATAATATAACAAGAATCATATCGGTTGTAGTCGTTCAAGTAAGTCAAACTTCCACTTGATAACGTTTACATCGTTTACCACAACAATCTTAGCATAACAAATTGAACATAGGTTTCATTGCATGATGATTTCGAGATTAACAACGAATGCAAACGAATTCTCCTTCTTCATATGTAAACAGATTCTATATGCCATTGAGTAAGGAAGAAAAGAGATCCCTTACTCAGAGCTTTTATTTTCAATTTTTCTTATTTAAACATTTACCAAAACGATTGATTGATTTAAAAAATAACAAATTAAAATGAAAATTTTTAACTTAGGATATAATAATAGTTTCGAATCTGACACATTTTTGTTGAATATTTAGAAGAAACAAATGAAGTTTGTACTATCGTTCCATTTACAAATGATGATGATCACTTAAAGCCAATGATCATCTAACTATATAATAATAAATTTATTATTGAAGGTTTTATTCAGAGTAAATAATTATAAATTGTAGCAACATGAATATATACAATACATGAAAACTATCTTCCCAATATTACCAAAAGCTAAGTAAAATATGCATGTAGAAGTTGAAATGTTATATTCAATATTTTCAAGACGTAATTTATAAATTAACTGTGATTGATTTATTTAAACTGATTTTTTTGTCAGTTAATAAATGTACTTTGTCAAATAAACAAAAGCTCAGGACTAGGTTAAGTTGAATACAAAGTGAATTGTATAATGTTCCTTTAAATAGAAGAATTTTATTCGATGTAATGATTTTTTTTCAAAGGTTAGGTTCATGTCAAAAATACTCATTACTTTTGACATTACAGAAAAATAAAGTCAAAAGAAGTAATGAGTAAGTTCCTTTCAAATGAATACTGTGCCTAGTGGTAACTTTCATGATTTTAATGTTTGTTATTTTTATAGTTAATAATTATGTTTAACTACTTGAATTGCGCTGTCTTCAGGTTGAAGACAAGTAGAACACAGGAATCTTTTTTTCCGTTCTGTCCTATCGATAAATGGCTGCGAAACGAAATGTTTATCAATACGACTGTATTAATCAAAGTTTCAAATACGATAAAATATAACTATATACAGCTAATCCAATACGATAGAACGTAAGAGAGAATGATTTTTCGATTTTTCTATAAGCTAGTAAAGAACGCAAGAATGACGGTATCCAAGAGGTTAACAAACTCATTTTACTGATTTACGCATTTAATGGTTTTATAATTTTATATATAATTGCATTCATATTACTAATGTAAAGATCTTTAATGAGGCCATTATGATAAGAACAACTTAAAGAAAGAAACATATCCGTATACTTGTAGAACTAAACTTGTCATGCTGGAGATGAACCATGAGAACTCCTAACTTTCTTTATAATTACAATTCCTGTTACGTAAAATCGCTCCTCAACTTTTTCAGTAAGAAATATTTATAACAACGCATTCTGTTGTTATCACTTTTTGCAAAGTAGATAAAATTATTTTGATAGATTTATTTATAGTTTCTCAATTTCAATAATTAATACTTGCAAGCTAACTTGACTTTAATTTCAAGGTTATAAAAATAAACGTGCACTATCCTCATGAGGATGATCGTGATTCAAGTATCCAATAATATAGGCTTGGACAACATAAAATTTGCCCAAAGCTATTTCTACATAGTTTCTAATGAGTAGATTTAACCTCATTATGTTATTTAAACGACTACTGTACTGTCAACTCTCCTATACTACTTCAAGTTCGTTTTTAATTGCTGTAAAATATAGTTCGACGCTATTCAAATGCGTTTCTCACATTACATGAGAATGTCTTCTTCAGTACGAATTCTTCAGAAATCCACATCATCATGATTAAAACAATAGTGGCGATATTCATCTCGTACGCTGATTTTTGTGGTTGGATCTAAATATAATTAGACTACGCGAAGTTCAACTGAAATTTAGTTTCAAATACTTGAAATTGCAAAACTCTTTTAATCCTCAACCTGTTTACGACTGTTTCTTCAATATCTGTTGCTCAACATCACCGTCAAATATCTTCTTAGACGCATGGATCTATCTTAAAAAATCTAAACGCTGTTTCTCAAAGAGGATTGATCATAGTAAACGATCAGCTTGTTCAAAGTTCAAATTTGTCAGCTCGAATTAGACTTTTTTAGCTTCCCTATTCTTTCAAAGCTTGTTTTCAAGAACGCTTTATTTACTAAGGAAATTTTATCAATAGTTTGATATGAATATGAATCGTTGATTAAGTAGAATTCATAAAAATATGCATAGTATATTTATTGTATTTGTCCCAATGTCAAATTTAACAACGATTAATAGTTTCTACTATTCCAATTATCAAATAGAAAATATTCTATGTAAAATGTGGTTTGAAAATAGCAGCGAATTTCTGTTTCTTGTAACAGCAGACTACTATTATTAATAATATTCTTCTAATATTTTCAAGATTAGATATTCTTCTTTACATGGTGAATAATTTAAGACGTAATTGCGTTGTATCCTCATTCATTCGACTCCATAGGCAATTTCAATTATTTTAAATTTTCTATGTTTGTGAATAAGTTTTCATAAGCATTATATTGCTAAAAAAAGAGGCATATTTTTGCAATAAGTATATTGTTGATTTTGTCGTTTTCGTATCAACTGATATCAATAAAATATATCTTATATTTGCAAACTAGAGAACGAAGCCTACACCGCAAGATAAAAAGAACAAGTATATGTATTTTTTGTGACCAATGCCAATATGTTAAATGTATTTAATAGTAGTTTTTCTTTCACATATTAGCTTTAACCCTTTGAGGACCGTAGAACATACATTGTCCTACCTGTTTTTCAATAGACAAAAAATGTTTTGTTCACATTAAACTGTTAGATCTGCACGGTAATAGAGGTGCTAGGTTGTCCTATTAGTTGACTAGCATGGCAACTTATGACCTGTATTACTGTGTAGGTCTAACAGTTTAATGTGAATAAAACATTTTTTTGTTTATTAAAAAACAGGTGGGACAACGTATGTCCCACTATCCTCAAAGGGTTAATATGTTTTGAGTTACACACGTCTTTAAAATGTACATTAGATCGTTGAGATACATGATGAAGCTATTTCAAAATGAGATTAATATTAAAAACATTATTTGGAGAATTTCTATAGAGAATTGTTTCACGCATACTTTGTATTACATTGCTTTTAGACAGCTTTCTCTAATATCGAAATTTGAATGATTCTTGAAATGAATTAAAAATAACAAATCAGTTTCGTATTGGAAGAATTTCGATTTTTATCTATTTTCATTTGATTTAATAGCATATGAAATCCACTTGAAGAAAAGCAAACGATAGCTAATTATATAAAATAATTCATAATTATCAAAATCCTATCTGAGACTGTCAAAAAGTAAATAAAAAAGAATTTTTATTAGTGAGTATTTTGAAAATTCAATAGATAACTTGCACGTGAACATGCTAACTGTAGATTTTTTTGCAGAAACTGGAACGATGAGTATAAAAACTTAAGCACGAGAATGATAAACATGAGAGCATTCCGCACCAAAAATTAATCACGCAAAAAAGTCAAGGTAAATGTGACGTGTATTGAAAGATCAATGGATGTAGATGGGTCTGAATGTTACTCTTCTCCTCATTCCGATTGACACTTAATCTTAATTTGTTTTTTTGTTCTGAACTTTTCGGTGCCGAATTTTTCTCGTGCTTATCATTTTCCTGCTTAAGTATCTGTACTGAAGTGTCTGTGTTCATCTCTCCTTGTACTTATCGTTCACTGATCTAA